GGTGTGCAAAACCAGGCGACGTCGAAAAGAATATTCTTTGTTCACTAATCACCCCTACAAAAGCTAATTCCGTAACCCGTGGCTTAACAAGTGCTAACGTCAAGTTCTTCTGTCCCTGTCACTTTTATTACTCTGTCATCCAGAAATACACAGGTGCTCCTCCTGTGTAAGTAATTCCCTTATCTGATCTCACACAAATATATCATGGCGTCAGTGTAGTGTGGTCCAAACTCACCCTTAACCACGTCCTGTTAATTGCTTTCACATCAGGACGCATTCTCTCCCACAATTCTCTCAACTTAGGTAACTTTTACTCGAGACTGTATGCGTTCGTAGAGCATATAGAAATACCTCTATTCACCTAAATTACGCACATAGACCCCCAAGATCTCGCCAACCAAACATTCCATACTTTCAGATCTTTTTCACCCTTCTCCAACAGTGCCTTAAATTCACTTACGGATTTTCTGAACTTGGTCTCTATTCAGACATTTCTACTTCTGATTTTGAGTGCTTGACCGACGACGAAGTTTTCATTTTTATTCTTTACTATAACCTTTGGTAGTTTGAAGGAATTGCAGTCAATTCTTACGTCACACCAACTCTTTATCATGGCCTTTCCTATATGGGCTCTTATCGTAGCATCCCGTAGTATTACACAGAACACTGCTGCTTCCGTCTTGGGGCTGCATGCATGGTATGCGTTTGGATCTATATTTGCACATTTTAACATAATTGAGGTAGTAATCTAAGGGAATTTCGAGAATAGCGGATTGTTATTAGAAGCCATTGAGAACCTAACAACGGGAAAAGTATCTTTTCCAGTTCATTTAATTTCCATCTTCAGCTTATTATGGGGATTCAAATTCACTTACTGTACATTTGCCAAAACACGTTAATCAAAAATATTTCGACCGATAGTATGGCTAGCTGGGGTCCCAATAGAAGATATCTTTTAACATATGATCTGTTTAATAGCCTTTCACCTGCAGTGAAGTCTGAGCCATGCTCGGAATATCAAGCAGTGCCGGTATCATTTGTTTCCAGCTTCTCAATTACTTATACATTGAAATTCCAACTGCCTCTTGAATGAGAGCCTTGACAAACCTCCAGCAAACGTTGCACAACCAGGGGTAGTGAATTACTGAGTTGACTTTCCATGGGGCATGCTAGGAAGATGCAGTTTTTCTATTTGATGCAGCTATAATAAAGCATATCATTGTATATTAAGTGGTGGAAATCCTACGAACCATAGTCATTTTTACTAGCCTTGACAGCATTAATTGTCTGAAGTACCTAGACAATTTAGCCAAGAAAAATCTCATAGAAAAACGTGGATAAATGTCAAAAGGTGAAGAATTTAAACCCGTCTACCGACACAAAAATTATTCAGCATCCATGAATGTTAATAAACACGTCTGTGACTCAAATAATTTACAACAGATTAGAAAACAGGTTAGTTAAGCTGCCGGAGCGAATTTAAGATGGTTTGCGACTGACTTCAACTAGAAATAACAAGCACGACTGTTGTGTGGCCATCTCTTTCGCTAGACCTGAGCTCTAGCCATGTAATCTGGTGACTGTTTATCTTGACTCACGTAATCTGGTAGACAAGCGTCAATATAAAGTTTCTGTGTATGCTACTCTTCCTATAATATAGCATTTGGCAAGTCTTTTACGTGACAAGATTTTTATTAGGCTTGTCTAGGCAGTGCATAACTGATTGATGTGAATATTGATTGGAGTGACTATGTTTAACTGTGCACTATTAAATGAACTAGTTGTGCAAATGGCTCACCGTGGTAGAGGGCTCCCAGGTGGTTGCGTCACAGGATCATACTGTACACCTATTTTGTCTCATAAGAGGTGTGTTCATTTCTCCTGATCAGTGGGTGTATCATTACGTGAATAAACTAGCTGGTCCAGCTAGTAGACATCTGCCTGTCTCTGAGATCAAGTCATGAATTTTGAAGTAGATATGTGAAAACGATGAAACCGCGAGTGGCTAATGATATCAGCTGTGGTTCTTTAGATTTCAGATTCAGATTTATTGGTTGAGGATAGAAGGTTTGGAGCCGATGTTAGTCCTTTCCTAGTCAACTTCTATGCTTGTCCAAACCGTTTTCGGATGAATCAGTTAGGTTGGGAGCCGGCTCCAAGAGTTTATGGTTCGGTGTGGGAACCAGTAATCAACGGCAATATAATTTCTTTTTGGCTTTTGAACTCTCCTGCTATGTCCTCTAAGGTGTCCCAACCTGGTGGGAAGGAAAAGAAAGAATAGGTCAGGTCCGTAGTCATTATTTAAAATTTTAAACATTGTGATTAAATCTCCTCTCTGCCTACGGTATAACAAGGAGAAGAGATTTAAACTGTATAGTCTTTCCTCTTATGATAAATTAGTCATTCCGAGAACCATACGTGTTGCCTTCCTTTGAACCGTTTCTAGAATGTGTGAGTCCCCTTTTAGACAAGGACTGGCGGCCTGAATGCAGCCCCCGCGCGACAGTGTGTTGTAGATTTTAATTCGTGGCTAACTATGACACCTAAGTCCAAGTGAGTCTGAACTGATGGGAGTGTTATTCCCTCTAGTTCGTAGGAGCAGGTACTCGCGTGTCCGATGCGCATGGTTGCACATTTCGCTACATTTGACGGGAGCATCCATTCTCCGGACCATTCTGACAATCTGTTGGGGGCATTTTGCAAAGTGAACGCATCACTGTCACCCTTCAGCTCTCTCTAAATTTGTAAGTCATCTGCACGTTGGACCAAAGGTGAATCAGTGAGCAGAGATAACTCATAGATATACAAAATAAATAGGACATGCCCGAGTACCATGCCTTGTGGCACTCCGCTACGCACTACTGCTCAGGAGGAAAGTTTCGAGTTGATGCTAACCCTGTGACTCCTATCTATGAAGAATTCACTGAGCCAGTTTAGTAAGCTGCCTTTGATACCAAGACTTTCCCACTTTATGAGTAGTCTTTTGTGGGGTACTTTATCAAACATTAACTTGTAGACAATCTACTATTTGACATTATATCATACTTGATCGTGCCTGTAAAAATGGCATGCATTTTCATGTAAATTTATGTTTATATGAAAATATAAGTTATTATTATTATTAAAGGTTTTGCTGAAGTCTATGAAGACGACGTCAAAGGGTCTTCTGTTGTCCCTGGATTTGACCCAGCTTTCTCTTCCAGTGAGAAGATTTGACAGGCATGAGAGGCTCCTTCGGAAGCCATGCTGTGCTCTTGATAATAAGCTTCTATTTTCTAGATATGCCATGATGCTTTCCTTGATGATTCTTTCCAGTGTCTTAATTAAAGTGCTGGTGAGACTGATAGGCCTGTAATTTGAAGGGCTTCGTCTTGATCCTCCTTTGTGGATGGGGGTTACTATGGCGTCTTTCCAGTCACGCGGTATCACTCCATTCAGGAGAGAAAGCTTGAAGATCGCAGTCAAAGGGCCGGCTATGTGAGCTGATAGATCTTTGAGAAACCTTGGATGAAGATTATCAGGACCCATTGATTTACCTGCATCTAGTTTCCTTAGGCAGTTGAGCACGATGCCTTGGTCGATATCAACGGAGTCTACCAGATGTTCTTCTGATGCAACCGGAGCTGATCCTATAGGCAGTGACGACTCCTGAGTGAAGACTTGGGAGAAGAAGTTTGCCATTGCTTCTGCTTTTTCTCGATCTTCTTCGATCGTATCATTGCCAATAGTCAGGTTTGGGACACCATTGGATGTTGTATTCCTGAAGTTCATGTACGAGAAAATTTTCTTAGGTTGTGTATTTGTATTTTGAGCCAGGTGTGCTTCCAACTTCATCCTTGATTGGCGGATTTCTGCAATAGCTTTATTTCTAGCAGTTATAATTGCCTGGTCTCAGAAGTCTCAAGTGTGGCAAACAAGTTCCAACATTTGTGTTTACTTACGAATCTCTCGGTTTATCCAAGGAGGGCAATGTTTCCGACCCTTTGGGACAGAACAAGGGATGAAAGGTTCAGTCACTTGCGGGTAAACATGTTTAAATTGGTTCCATGCGGCTTCTACTTGAGACTCTGGGTCGATGTACCAGTTTCCGAGTTGGCTGCTGAGACGATTGCATTTATATCAGCTTTCCAAACGTTTGGTCGAGCTGGGGCTTTGGCCCTTGCTGCTGTTGCTGTGATCTTGAAAGTGAGCACAGCATGGTCACTTCTTCCTAAAGGAGGAAGATGTTGTATGAGATCCACATCCTCACCATGGGAGAACACCAGGCCCAGAGTTCAGGAGGAGTGCTGTGAGTCATAGCGCGTGGGCTTAATGATATGTTGGACTAGAGCTAACGATACACAAGATTCCAGCAGTTTATAATCAAAGGAGTTGACTGAGGATGGAGTTGTTAGGCTCGTCCAGTCAACTGTTGGGGCATTAAAGTCGCCAACTATGAGACTTCGACATTTCGAGGTCCAGGAGCCTAGCTTCTCTATCAGGAAGTCATCTGCACTGCAGTCAGGACTGCGGTACTTGCGGTACTCGGGTGTGAGCCATGTCTCTGTGATAATAATAACATCTGGGTTTCCTGAGTTAACCAGCTCAGTCCGTTTATTTAACAGGCTGCGGGCGTTTGTGTAGCAAACTGTCAATTCAGTTTGGTGCTTTCCCGGCCTAAAACAGGATGTCGCTGCTCCTGTTTTCAATCAATATGTCTAAATCTGCCCGTCCCCGGTATTTGACAACTACAACAAGGAAATGAGACGCGTGTATAAAACCGCGATCCAAAGAGGTCTAGGATATCAAGAAGTATAATAAACAAACTCGGACAGCTTATTAAGGCTAATCATGAAATCAAAGCGATACATTTTCGACTGCGATCTGAGAATGACCATTAAAAAATTAATATTAAGGCATATTGCTGTCAGATAAGGCATTTTCTGGAGTAAAGCCTGCCTTGATTTGAAAGAAATTTGGATAAACACATTAATTTGTCCAAGACAACTAGGTATGTTATGGAAATTGGATACTGCATGAAGGCGGCAAAGTGGACTGTTTGCGTTACTTTGTTTGATACACCCAAATGATCCCACCTTCATTCTCAGATCTAGGTAAAGATGCAAGGGATTTGCTTACCAAAAAATTTCATTTTGGACTATACAATTTCCAATGTACTACGAAACACAATGACATAGAGTTTAAAGCCAACATAAGTGATGGACCGAAACCAAATAAAGTAACCTATCATTTGTTCTACTTAATTTCTCTTCAGATGTATTTCGATCTTCAGCAGAAGTTATCTTACCCAAAGTACGGTTTGAGTTTGACAAAGAAATGGGCTTCTAACAATGTTGTCGATGCGGAAATAGCTTTTGAGGATAAGTTACTCGATGGTCTGAAGCAAACATTTAAGATATCTCATGATCCCTTTCAAAAGTGAGAAGTGAAAACAAAAATTATAATTTTTAGGCGATTCCATGCTAATCTAATTAACTCTTTTCGAAATGAACATGTCAACTCGAATGTTGAAATGTTTTTCAAGTCTGCTGTGCCTGATTTATCACCGTCACTTGTCGTTAGGTAAGTATAGAAGTGATTGTAACATGTGTTGTTTTTATGTGGTGTATTTTAAAGACTAATTCAACGTCAGGAAAGAGTAATCACGGCAGTCTTTAAAGTTAAATTATGACGTTAGTCCGCTGCTTAATTTTCAGAAAAATGCAACATAAGTATATTTTTCAGGCTAGATTTTCTCGTATGGCATTAACTGATGAATGTGCCAACTTTTTAGGTTTCTTATTAACTCTTAGCTAAACCTTGGCAGTCTAATTGTATCATGTTTAGTTCACCTACAGATTACAAGTGAGAATTGTAAACAAGCACCAGTATTTAAGTTTGCAATTTTCTGTGCCTGGATTTTTCTTTTTAAGGCAGCATTGCTTATTGTTTGAGTATCATTTTCGAGTGGTGAAGTTTACTGGTTTACTTTAAAAAGGTTCAACTCAAATGATCGTAATGTCTCAAAACATCAGAATTTCATCGCTACATAGTCATGAGTAATCTCCACTTTGTCCCATGTTTCCAGTAACCAGTTAATGAAAGTAAAAATAAAAAGGTATTTCAATTTCACCATAGTCTTCATCATGAATGGACATCATTTAGATGTTACTAAAAGCTACAGTGAAATCAATCCAAATTCCAACAAAAGAAATCATAGACCGAAGTATCAATCTTCGGCTCCATCATAGCTACTGGATGGATATCCTAAAACTGCACTGGAAAGTCGTGGCCAGTGGGGTCCATCATATCAGGGTGAAGTGGATTCTCATTGAAGGCACTCTGGTTGAGTTAGACTTCACAAGTCACAGATTTCTGGTCAAAATAGCTTAGTATCGTGACCTGAAGGTCCCAGGTTCGGTTCTTAGTGGGGGTCGCGGTTTCCCACTGTTGAAAAGTCCCGAACTGAGACAAAATAGATGTCCAGTACTCCTTGATTTTCAATGATCTCTAACTGACATTGGTTCTTGTTGAGATCTACGTTGAAACTGATCCAAATCCGTGGAAAAGTCCCATATTCTCTGGTTTTGAAGTGAAGTGTTAATAATGCATATATCTATTTGAAATAGTGTTACTACATAGTTGAGTTGTTTAGTCTCTGTAGCACTTATATGTTTCACTATTTGGGTAATTCTTATGTTTTATGTAAAAGTACTGTCAATTAATACTGCAATTTTATGGCTAACATTTGATCTTTTATGTCTTAAAGTAACTGCTTTTTAAATATATTTGAAATGCATATTTTCAGCTGCATTCATTACCACGGTTATATAAAATTACAAAATATGCCTGTGCATAAATCGTGTAGAACACTTTCTTTACAGTTCATTCTTCATTTGTAAGCTTGAGAGAAGGTAGAATCACTTTACTTTTACGTTTTTGGGTGGTTGGTATATTAGATAAAGGTCCAATTCTTGTTCAGTAATGTTTTGTTTTACCCTACTGCCACTATTAAGGTTTGTACTAAAGTGTCCTGGAATGTTTAGGTAAACATTTGATTTAGTTGTTGATGAATCTGCGCGTATGAATGAATTGCTGCTATAGAGATTTGCTAGTTTAGATTATTATATTTTCCATTATGGATAAAATTTTTATTTTGATAAAGTCACACACTGGTGTTATACAGGAATATTAACTGATGACCACATTTCGATCACAATTTAGTACTGCTCATAATCATGTCAAAGCATTACTTACATAACTTTGCTTCATTTATATACATGGGTAAAAATTGAGGATTAGACATTTAAATAAAATCAATATAAGATGAGGTGCATTCAGGAATAATATTAGTGTTATCAATAAAATACAATAAGATGGGAAATAAAATGTTTTTATAGTTAAATAAATAAATAACTTGTTAGAATGTTATGATATGAATTGAATGCATTTTAACATAATTTATCCTCTGATTTGACTGGTGGTAATAATATCTTCCATACATATCTCTTGTATTTGCGTTGAGTCACTTCTATTGCATGTGTTGACTATAGATTATTCGATGAACAAGGATTCAGTAATCAACCACCTTTCTGTCTCCACCAACCCATATTTCTTTTTAGAATTTTGACTCTGTCTCACCCACCCGATTGTGTGGTTGTGTGTTAATACATGCAATGCGATTGCTGAGTTTAGTTTTCCTAAATTCCTTATTTTCGTGGAGTCAATCATTCTGCACTTAACTAAATTCTTATTTTCTGATAATCTCACTACTCCCGATCAACTATTTTGACCTTTTTAGTTGACCTCAATGACAGTCATTACTTACTTTACTTTACTTCGGCTATCTCCTACGGGAGGATGAGCCGGCTTCATGAACATCTCGAATCAAGAGAGTTCATGAAGTTTCATGGGAATTTGGTACGGGTGATGTCCCCAGAATCACTCGGCCTTTTGTTTGAGAGTGCAGCTCTAGCCTTTACACAACCAAGTGTGACCTACAAGGCAGTAGGAGTGGAGTAGGGAGTCCACTATCCATTGGCAGCCGGTGACCGGAGTTCGGTTCATACGCCTTTTTGAATGGGGCCAGACATCCAGGACATCCAACAAGCCCTTTGTCCGTACGTCTGCCGGTGAGCTCCAGTGAGCTTCATACGCCAGTCGTTGGAGGTTTGGAATCAGGGTTTAGCCATCTCCCCTAGACTGTCATCCAATGGGCAGTCAACCCGGTGAAGAGCGCCGGGCATCCGCTTTCGCCCTCTCACTTTGGTGAAAAAAAACACCTCCGCCACGTGAAGGCAGTGAGTAGGACTTCCTTAGGAGAGGCTATGTAAGACGCCCGGTCATATGGGAGCATTTCAAGAGGTGTGCGGAGGGGTGGTCAACCCGCAGCGCAAGGCACCCACCCCCGACCATCCTGAGGCTTTGGAGTCATTGCAAGGTATTTTGTAAATTATATTATTTTGTTTAACTGGGTAAACCAGTTCTTTTGGCCTACAGAACTTGTCCTACTTGAGTGTGTTTGTAGGAGGGTTTAAATGCCACCACCCTAATTCCTGCTTTATTAAGAATCCTACGTAGGCTTTCAGATGTCCTAGCTTAATTATAATCAATTAACTTCTTAGTTGCAGTAAAGCCAAAAGCAGAACAAATTTTCATCTCCGGTGACATCCACTATTTCTTTCACTAGTAATGTGTAATGTATTTATTTGGATAGTAAAGTTGGCTGGTCTTTTTTGTAGTTATTATTCAGTTACAAATTTGATACATTATGGGCATAAAGAGATACACCACAAAACCTGTTTGTGTGAGGTCTAGGATATTTCCCGGACGCTTAGACTGAGGTAAGTGGTGGTTGCCTTAGGTGACCACTCGTACCCACCGAGCCTTTAACTCGAAGTCTGATCCACAAACCAGTGGACTGGCGTCAGAAACTGCGTTCCCATGGTTTCTGGTGACAAAACCAACTCCATGCATCATTCGATCCTTTCGGATTCTGGAGTCCATGAATACCGCCATAGGTGTTTGGAATCAGGGTTTTCCATCTCCTCTAGGTAGACCAGTATGTCTACTGGCCTACTTGTAAGCGCCAGACGTTCCTATTCACTCTTTCACTTGTGTAAGGAACAACCCCACCGCTTGAAGACAGAGGCTATGAAAGCATTGCCACATGAGAGGATTTCGACAGAAAGACTGAAGTCTATCCATCCTTGGGCGTACCATGTCGTTTTTCGGGATTGGTTGTTCTTTCTACTTATGTATTGATTAGTTTTATATATTTCAGTTAATTTCAAGCTATAAAATTTACCTGTGTAATTTATTTATTATTTATTGTTCCCTTGAGTTCCTAGTGTAACATAGGGCCTCAACTACACGTCTCCATTTGTTTTTGTCTTCTGCTGTACTTTTCACCTGCATCCATGTTAGTCCATACTGTTTCAGCTCCTCTTCACACGATCTCCATGTCACCCTTGGACGTCTCACTCGCCGCTTCCCTTTCGGGTTCCACTCGAGCAATGGCCTGACGCGCGATGTCACCCAACGGCCTCCTCAGCGAGTGTTCAATCCATCTCCACTTTCTCCTGCATATCTGTTGTGCGATTGGTTCTTGTTTTGTTTCTTCTCATAGTTTCTTGTTTGTGATTCTTTCCGGTCACCTGATCTTCAGTATAGAGCGAAGACAGTTGTTGATAAAAGTCTTCAACAGGCTGTTGGAAATATTCTTTGTGACCCGCCAAGTTTCTGATCCGTATAGAAGAAGTGACTGACTTGACGTTTGTATTGAAAATCCGAATTTTGTTGTTGATGCAGGCTAAGTGACGAAGATTTCCAGATTGGTTTCAAGTTGATGAACGTATCTCTCGCCTTCCCGATTCTCGATTTAACATCTTCGTCCGTTCCTCCTGTAGTTGAGACAATGCTCCTTAGATAAGTGAATGAAGTAACCTCTTTTAAATCCCTCCTTTGATGGTGATTGGCAGTGGATGTTGCTGCTGTTGTTGTTGTTTGTTGGTTATTTTCATGACCTCCGTCTTGTACCTGTGTAATTTAAGCGTAATTAATTCATAGTTGAAGATTTTTTATTAATTCCTTTACGTTCCCAGTGGAACCTTGGGGGGGGGGGCTTCAAGCTAGAGGCTTAAAGTTTCGGTATCAGGGGTGTTTAGTTTTACGAGATGGGGTTGCTAGCCAGCCTCATGCTGGCCCAACCTTCCCTCTTTACCAGTCTTATAACTGGCTTAGTGAGGTAAAGGAGTGCTTCGGTGGCCCGGAATCAAATCCAGGACCACACGGGGCGTGGTAGGCGAGCATTCTACCGCTATGCCACCAACGCACAACTACAACTAATCTGTGTTAATTAATGAATAGTATGATGTGTTTTGTGGTTGCATAGATTACTTTTAAATAATGTTGGATAATAATAGAATTTTAACTGCTTATACATATATATGTATGTATGTATTCATTCCTCATTTACATAATCAAGCTATCAAGGATATTTGATTGGTGCTGATGTTAAATTGGACTGTGAAAATCGTATTCTACAAAAAGCTAATTTTGCTATTGGTTATGCTGTTCAAGATTTTGCATTTCATGGTTTAATAACCAATTGGGGTAAACAATTTTCAGCCAATATATTTCAACGGATCACTGATCAAACTCATATAGCAGGTTCAGTAAGTTTTCGTTTTTTTTTATTTACTTGTTTTGATATTTCACTTGTTGTTTTTTTCACTAGGTGGTGGTAGGTAGTCTCTGTGACAATCTTTGATTTTCGCCTATTGTCTCTACTTCAAGACTAGTTTTTCATGAAAGCTTCCCGCTCCCCTCCCATCCAACTTGAATAAACTTGAAGGTTTGATTTAATAAGGTATAACAAGGTGAGCATTATTCAGTTGGTTAGTCGTCGAATGCTAGGTAAGAAAGAGGGGAAATTAATCGATGACACTGTGAATTTACATCGACTGAGATGGTTAAGTCGTGTGTTACGCATGCATCCGTAGCCATCGGTGGTCTTCCTCGACAACGGGAAATGTTAGCTGACTGATATAGGATGGATCAAGTTGTTAGAAAAGAGCTAGCACATGGTGGTCAAACCAAAACATGGCGGAATCGGTCAATGAAATCTAACCAGCAGCCACGCAGGGAGGTATAAACTGCCTGTCTGGTCGAGGTCTTCGGAATAACTGATTGACTGACTGGTTTTAACATAGAACTTTTCACTAATGTGCAGCACTTCAAGTCCTCACACTTCACTCAGCACACAAAGCCAGCGAAGAAAGTAAAAAAGAAACGCAAAATAGAGACAGTAAACAGAGATGAGGCAAAAAGAACAGTAATATCGAAGAAAAATATAGTTTTATTTGAAATTATAAGTCACAAGCAGTGGATGCATCTGCGCCATCCATTGAGAACGATCACTTTAAGGCATATCACTAATTGTCTCCAGTCATTGGTGTTTACCGTCCCGAGGACCCCAACCATCCGCACAGTCTACACCTCCCAACGTGGCTGGCTGGCTTAAGCTAACTGCTGTGGATTTCGTTGACTGATAAAGCTATGTTTTGGTTTGACCTCCACTGGCTCTAATCCAACCCTTAATAGTTACTCTGATAAATTAATCAGAAAGTATGTAGGGAAATGTAAGAATAAAATAAATATTGGTAGCAGTGATAGTGATAATAATAATAATAATATTAGTGACGACATGCATTTCAAGCATGCGCAAGACAACACCAACAATAAGGAATCTAAATCATCAGTAGTAATTCCATACAAAGAAGGAACCTCGCAAACACTCCGCGGAATTCTTAACAATGCAGGAATAAAAGTGGCTGGCACTGAAACTCACAAACTCAACTAGAAACAAGTTTTGTCGGTTAAAAGATCCTGTGGAGCCAATCAAACAGAACAATTTAGTTTATCTAACACCCTGCCTGCAATGATTGTCAGGTCAGATACATGGGTCAAAGTAGTAGAACAGGTGCAGTCAGTCAGACTAGCCGAGCATAAAAACCTAGCAGCAAAATCTAGATTAGTTGACCCGAGTAAGATAAGAAATCTAGAGAATAGTTCAGCTATAGCTGTCACTACATGGAATTACACACAACCATACAACGGGATGGATGGGATAAGATGACAGACAGTTTTAAAATCTAATGTCACAGGGTGAAGGGAGAGATTGATAACAGAGGCTTTGTTTATCGAATCAACTGCAAATACATGTAATAAAAGTTAATGATTCAAGACACCTGTCCACCCAGATATCTGGAGAATTCTACTTCCTCTACGACGACAAATAGGAGAGGACAAAGAACACTTTAAAACTAAAGTTTCGAAGTCGTGTGATTAGAATTGATGAAACGATTATGAACAATACATTTTGTTTGAAACTTTGTCATCCAGTAAATAATACTTTCACTGTGTGATATATATATATATACCTAATAAACAAACTAATATGGAATTATTATGGATTTCATTGACTGATGAAGCCATGTTTTGTGGTTTGACTACCGTTAGCTCTTTTCCAACAACCTAATCGATCCTATGTCGGTCAGCTAACATTTCCCGTTGTCAAGTATACTGATTAGGCGTCTCCATCAGGTTGAGCTTTATGCAGATATAATTTTTTCACGTGTACGTTCCAACTAGAGCTAACTAACTAAGTAACGGAACTTTGAAGAATTTGTTCCAGGTTGAAGTTGGAATGTGCTGATTATTTGAGAAACTTCATAATTGTCTTTTTGTCTTTTTCTTCTGTGAACATACTTTTAACTAACTGACTAAATAAATAATTTTATTATGCCTATTTATAATTAAATAAATACTCCATAAATTATCTAATAGTAATATTGTCCTTATAAGATTGATCCACACTTATTGATTGATTGATTTGTTGAACTCCGATTATATTACAACCATCATTTCAAAATGAATTGAATTTATTCTTATTTATGAGACAGAACACATATGAAGAAGGTAAAACCAACCTTCATCTCTCCACAAAAGTCACTCCACGGAACCCACAACAGTTAATTTAAGCCAGCTAGTCAGCCACGTAGGGAGATGTAGACTTCCTGACTGGTTGGTTGGGGTCGTCAAAATGGCAAGAATCAAAGACAACTGTAGGCAATCGGTGATATGGCTCAAATTTTCTATAGTTTGGTTTGTAAGGGTTAGTTATGTTTTTTTACGAGTTGATCACGGATTGATATCAGTTAGAGAACCATTGAAAACCAGCCACAGGGAGTACTGGACAGCTGCTGTTTCATCCTAGTTTGGGAATCATCGGAAGTACGCACCCACTGGCATTCGAACCCAGGACTTTCCGGTTACAGGGCCAGCAAGCTCGTATACCATTCAGCCACTGGGACCCGATTCAATGGCTCATGTAACTGGAAGGTCCTGGGTTCGAATCCCAATGGGTGCGTACTGCCGATGATTCCCAAACTAGGATGAAACAGCAGCTGTCCAGTACTCCCTGGTTTTCAATGGTTCTCTAACTGATATGGCTCAAAGTCCGAGTTCTTAATGGATGGTGCAGATGCATTCACTCTTTGTGATTTGTCATGTCATCCAATGAAACTCTATTGTTCTCCCATATTACTATCCCTTTTGCACCGTGTTTCTGTTTATTATCTCTCGTCTCTTGTTTTGTGTGTTACAATGGGGGGAGAGTGGCAACTTGAACTTCTGCATATCTGTACAAAGTTCATGTTGAAACCAGTCTAGTCCATTCCACAAAAGTTCAGATGAACAAGAAGAAAGGTGTAAGGAGTGAATGAATTCCAAATGACTGACTGACTGACTTTCAACATAGAACTTTGTAAGGAAGTGTGGCGGCTCAAGTTGTCACACTCTGTACAGTACTCAAAGATAGAGGAAAAAGAGATTCAATAGAACTATATATATATATATATAGGCAGAAATGTGTGGTTAGAAAGAATAGTAGCAGAGAAAAACATTAAGGTTTAACAGGTATGATAGAGACCACAAAGAGCGAATGCCTCTGCACCATCCATTGAGAAGGAGGATGTTGAGCCATACCACCATTTGTCTTCAGCCGTCATTAGTTCTTAGCATCTCGAAGACCCCAATGAGGCAGGCAGTCTATGCCTCCTATAACCTAAACCACTTGTCAACGAATTCATAAATGATTGCCTTCAATAATTCAATACCCCATAATAATAATATTATTATTCCCTTGGGTTCCGAGTGGAACATGGGGCTTCAACAACTCACCTCCACTTCGTCCTATTTTCTGCCGTCCTCTTCAGCTGGCTGGGTCCACGACTGCCCATAATCTCTGATCTCCTCTTCTCACGATTTTCTCCATGTCACCGTCGCACTGACGACCCACTCGTCGCTTCCAATCCGGATTCCACTCGAGCACTGACCTGCATTACCTTCAGTGTCATTCGAAGTCCTCCTCAGCATATGTCCGATCAACCTATCTCCATTTTCTCCTACATATTTGTTGAGCGATCGGCTCGTGGTTGGTTTGTTCCACTGCAGAGTTTCTTGTTGCTAGTTCTTTCTGGCCCGCCGACTGGCCATTTGATCTTCAATATGGAGCCAGCAGGGGGGTGGGTGGGCAGCTGTTGATAAAAGTCTGCAGCAGACGAGATGAGTTAGTATTGAGCTGCGTATAGCTTTGTTCGGCACTTTGCCAAACCAAGATGGGAGGTGTTCATAAATTCGACGATGAACTTACCTGATCTTACGCCTGTATGTAACTAGCTCCACACGGGCAGTTAAACTGGTAGATACACATGGAAGAGGCGAAACAGGGCAGTGTGTCTTTATTTCTTGAACTAAATATTGGTTTTTTTAGTGAATACACAGCATTGTTTAGCTGCATAGAACTTCCTTTTGATTTGGATTTTCCAGTTGATTTATTGGGTCGATGGACAGTTGGTTCGAGCCCCAGAGGGGGAATATCACCCATGACTTACTTGGCAATGCAGGTACATTGGGTTGATGACTCTCAAATAAGACGAAACACGTATCTTAACTGGATTCCACTAGTAGTCACCATCCACTAATTTGTTTCAAGTTAAAATAATAAAAAGAATTTGTATATATGATATCATGAATTTTAACTCTTATTTACTTGTCAAAAATATATTCAATCTTAATTGATTATGTGTAACACTCATAGGTGACATGGAAACGTGTTCCTGATGAAATTGCCTGGTCTGCTGGTATTCAGCATATATTGGATAATCGAAAGAAGCATTCAGTGAAATTGAGATTAGATCATTGGAATCAGATCAGTTTGGCGTTTACAACCTATTTGACAAAAAGTAAGCTTTTCTGGGAGGAGCTGGTTTGTTCCTGCCCTTTACTATTTTTATTTTTTTATTAAACTCGCACTCACACAACTCAAATACTCAATGTCAGCAACAACAGCCCGATAATCCACAAAAGGAGTGTTGCATTATTCAAGAGAGCCAGGAGGCGTTGCGCCGCAACACTTCCTACCTTAAGGAAAGTTGAAGAAAAATTATCTAATGGATGTCTTCCAAGGAAAATGGGTATCCACGAAACACCATCAAAAGAGATAATCTACTCGCAAGCTAACCAACCAAATCAAAGCCCCGCCCCCCACTCACTGCCGGCAATGAAATGAAAACAAAGAAAATTATCGTACTCTTTATATGAAGAATGTCTCAGAAATCATTGCAACACTCTTCAAACCTTTTGGTATTGACGTCGCCACTCAGGTGGTTCTTTGTCTACCATAAGAATCAATAGAGAAAGAAGATGAAACCAACATCATTTACAAAATAAATTGTAACGACTGTAGGAAATATATTACATTGGCGAAAATTGGATGCGCCCCTCCTCTTCGTCTTCGCATTCATGAACACAAAACTGGTCGTCAAAAGACTCGATATCCATTCCTTCATATCGCTCGGGAGGCACAAACACGAGAAAACCAGGCAGGTTTTAGGCCAGGAAGAGGGTGTATTGATCATATCTTCACCCTTCGACAGATTCTAGAACATAGGCATTCCTACCGACGTCCGACAATCATTATATTTCTTGACCTTAATGCACCATTCGATTCTGTCGACCGAGAGGTTCTCTGGCGATGCTTGGCTGTGAAGGGAAGGAAGGCCGAGAAAATATATTGCACTGATCAAGGCACTCTACTTGGACTCATGCAGCCAGGTGAGGGCTTACGGTGAGAGTTGTCATTGGAAGTGGTGACAACTAGTGGTGTCCGACAGTGAGGGATGCCCATGATCCCCATTTCTATTCAACTTCATCATAGATGTACTAATGGACTTAACCCTAACTCACTTCAGCGACTCAGGGATTGAGTTGCTACCAGGGAATAATCTCGTTGACTTAGAATATGCCTAGTCGTCGCCTTCCTCGACGGGAAATGTTAGCTGACATAGGGTCAGACTGGAAAAGAGCTAGCGGCGGTCAAACGAAAACATGGAACCAGTCAATAAAATCTACAACAGTTAGTCTAAGCCATGTAGGAAGGTGTAGACTGGCTTCCTGGTTGGGGTCGTCGGGACGGTGAAAACCAATGGTTGGAAACAATTGGTGACATGGCTCAAAATCGTTCTCAGTGGCACAGATGCATCCACTCCTTGTGACTTATGATTTCCAATGAAACTGTTTTGTTCTTTGTTATTACTATTCCTTTGTCTCATCCCTGTCTACTGTCTCCATTATGCATTTCTTCTACTTTGTTCTCTTGCTTTGTGTGCTATATGGAGTGTGGCGACTTAAACCGGTGCGCATCGGTGCAAAGTTCTATGTCGAAAACCGACAGTCAGACAGCCTTCATATCGCCTCACTGCATACAGACAACTACGGACAGCAGTTCGATTGGGAAAAAGTTTAGATAAATTAGACAGAGGAAACAGCAAAAATGTCAGAGAATTTCCCGGAAGTCTGGTATTCCAGTGAATCGTAAATTAATAGACACATTGACATAGACAAGATTTACCAATCGATAAGAAGGAAATCTCATGCACAAAAAGTTAAGGAAACAATCAATACTAATAATAAAAGTAGACTAGAGGGTGTGAAAACACAAAAGAGCAACAACCAATCACGACATTGCTCAAGGTCACCACCCACCAGGAGAGATGACTAGTAAACTCGTGGGGAATGTGAAAGGCTTACCTCAAATTAAATTATATCTGCTGAGGAGGATGTTGTCCAGTAAAACAATGAAATCTTCATAATTAAAACCACCTACTTTAGAGAACACAACTACGCCAAAATCATCACCTAACTGATCTACAGATCTTCTCCATTATGTTAGACTTCACTTTCCATCATCTTTTAGGCGTTTGGTAACAAGTGGGGTTCGAATATTGTTTTTTTTCAAGATATTCTGAACAGTGATAGGTATTACTAGTCGTATCACAGTGTATGAACCTCGTCCAGCTAACTAACCAATCCAAAACCCGATAAAAGAAAGAAGGTCGGACCTGAGGTTAACAACTACACTCTGTAAATGGCGACAACTCTATCCGTCGCTAATGAAACTATAAAACATACACACACTCAAAGTAAACCTATTATCCACTGGGATGGGGGATAGACGAAGGACACTGACTAGGGTTTCCTACCGATTGTCTCTAACTATCTAGTTATAATAATAATTCAGAGTTCACCTCGATGACGACTCACTTGGCTAGGATGACCATATTGTAAACTTGATTGATAAAGTTCAGTAAGCACCGACGCCAAGGACTAGAGTCCATGCCATTGGATATGTTGTTTATAAGAGGCCAATTGTAAATCTGAATACCACAGTGGTGATGTGTCAGACTGTGGAATCTCAGTAAGGATAGCAGTTCCTTCAAAGTTTGCAGTTACGTCTTGCTGACGAGGACAAGTAAGCTCGAAACATGGGTTCAGAGCTACCTACTGTTTGCCTCCAATCAGCTAGTATCGATAAAAGACTCTTTCATCAGTGTTTTCAATACCGAAACCATTTACTGAGGAAAAAAGAAGAGCTAATTTCCTGTTATCAGCGTTGCAAATGTCAATCAATATATGCTTGTGCAACTGCAGACTGCTTGATTTTCGCATGTTAGGATATCGAATTCGTCTGTTGTTGTGAAGTTAATTTTGGCGAATCGATCAGTCAGGTCGGTTCATCATTGTGAATTGGTTGAAGCACTAATAATCGTAATATCTTTATTCCAAACAGTATTTTTGCTAGAAATATGGAATTTTCAGCACATAGTGTAGTAATGCATCTAACTGCCTCATTACAGGGGTAATGCCACTTACACCGATAATATTGTTCAATAAGAAAATGAATATAAAATGAATAAATTAAGTGAAAATATTAACAACAATGTAACAATGAAAAAAATGGAGCCGTTTACTTAGTGTCTTCTCAGTAAGTTGGTAGTATCCTCCTGACCAATAGCTGCTACCTTGACGTGGTGGTCGAACTTGGATATCGCAAAGATCCAACAAGCTGCACTGGCTGGAACCAATGTTCCTGCAGATTCTACCATGCCAGGAAGGTTGTTAGGATAGTGATTAGACTAAAAGAAGTTACCGGCTTAGTGTAAGAATTTTTCTTTTGTACACTATGTTGGGGGGGTCTGTGGGCGAAGTCTTACTGCTGGGGAACAGAGATGTAACAGCAGTGAGGTGTTTCCCTCAGATGACCAGCGTGCCAGCCAACTGTGCTGTCTCTCCACTCTGGAGAGAGGGGGTTAGAATAGGTCGACCCCAACAATTGTACATTCCGACTTACCCTACGAAGGTGATGCGTAACCGGCGGTAACTTTACTAATACGGAACCAATTCAAGAAACCAGTTCATAAAGGTCGTGTGTGACTGGCCTCAAGCAGTTGTCCCCTGGATTCTGCGGTCACGCAACACTAACGTAGTTAATAACGATGATTATAATGATAACAAAATATTGATAACAAGGTTTATGCAGGTGGCGATAAGAATAACAAAGGTAGTAATATGTGTGTATGTAGACAATTCAATAAATAAATAAATTAGGTGAAATCCTAAAAGTTACGTAATACTAAAAGTAGGTGAAGTGGACAGATAATCAGAGTTTAAATAAATATCATAAAAGTACGAAGGAGATGGAAAATAAGAAAGGGTGCAAGGGTTTTGAATAGAATTTACCTAGACGAGGTAAGGGAGAGACAAAGATAGAACATATAGAAAATCAAAACAAGTGATTCAGCGAAGAGACTTTCTCCAACAACGAATTTATCATCAAGCTGTACAATCGTATTTATATGGTTTTTAAGAAGTTATATCCGGTGAGGGAATTGAATCTTAAGTTTGTAAATGTATAAATTGTACTGATACATCGCGTTAACTGCTTGTCTTTTTTGCTGTTGTTGATTTCTTCGTCTTTTTTTGTTGAATACATTTATATATAGGTCTACAGTGTACGCTAAGCGGTGTTTTCAATGGTCCTGATATACCCAAAATGGGTATTGGTTTTGAGTTGAACTATTAAATGCTTCTGTTTATGATGATGATGATGTTTGTGTTTACTAACAACTTATAAGACAAAACAAATTAGAAGAAAAAAAAACAAACAACAAACAAACAAAACAATAAATCACATTTTGGTTTCTTAGTCTAAATTTTATAGAGGAGAATTATTCACACTCACACACACACACGCACAAATCACATTAACAACATATCTGCCTATGTGTTTGTGTGTGTGTATGTATGTACAAGGAGAAAAGCAGAAGCAGTGGCGGCAGCACCGGCGACGGCGGGAGTGTAGCAGTGTAGCACTAGCAGCTCATTGGTTGCGTTGTCTTTATTTTTTATTTCACCCCGGTTTTTCTTGTCATGTTTTGTTGCGCACATGTTTATCACATTTCAAGAAATTTTGCTGCTTTCATCATCACATCGCCATCATCTATCTATCTATCTATACAGTTTGTAGCGTGTATAACATTTTATTATTATTATTGTGTAGAGAGAGAGGGTTTTTTTCAGTGCTTTCTGCAACAACAAAAAACATACGCTTTAGTTATTTGCATTTTTTTTGTTTCGTCGTTTTATTTTGTTTTGGTTATTTCTTAGTGTGTTATGTAATGTTATGTAATGTAGTGCAATGCAATGCAATGCAGTTCACTCACTCATTTATACATTCATTGGTTCATTTAGTCAATCTACTACACACACCCATCATCTCTGTCTGCCTCCAGTGTATATTGATCACCTGTCAAATGGCTTTGCCATACACATAGCCTTACTTATATATTATTATTAGAGATTTTTAATCTTTATGGTGTGAATTATTATTGAACAAATATATATAAATAAAGCTCATTAATAATAAATAATAAAGGCTGTTTTTTGTATTTCTCAATGAATGAAAAAGAGCGAAATGATATGGTTGTTGCTGTTGTCGTTTTTACTGACGTTTCACTATTTAATGCTGCTGCTAATAGCTCTATGAAAGTAGTCACATTAATATATGTGTAAAACTTGGGCACTGTGGTAGTAAGTAATTCCATGTTAGTTTGTTTATTAGATGTATCACATAGTCAGTGAAACAGTATTATTTACTGGATGACACAGTTTCGAACAAAATTTATTGCTGTTCATAATCATATCAACTGTAATCACACGACTAGGAATCTTGAGTTTTATAGCTTTCTTTGTTTTCTCCAATTTGTCGTAAGGGGAGTAGAATTTTCCAGATATCGGGGACAGGTGTTGAATCATTCCTATTACACGCACATGCAGTTGATTCGATAAACAAAGCGTCTGTTATCAATCTCTCCCTATACTCTGTGACATTAGATTTTAAAACTGTCATCCTATCCCATCCTATTGTATGGTTGTGTGTGACTGCATGTAGTGCTATAGCTGAACTATTCTCTAGATTTTTTATTTTATTCGGGTCAACCAATCTAGATTTTGCTAGGTTTTTATGCTCGGCTAGTCTGACTGCACCTGTTCTACTAATTTGACCTATGTATTTGACCTGACAATCATTGCAGGCATGGTATTAGATAAACTAAATTGTTTTGTTTGATTGGCTCTACAGGATCCTTTAACCGACAAAGCTTGTTTCTAATTGAGTTTTTGGGTTTGAGTGCCAGTCACTTTTATTCCTTCCTTGTTAAGAATTCTGTGTAGGGTTTCCGAGGTTCCTTCCTTGTATGGAATGACTACTGATGATTTAGATTTTTTATTGTTGGTGTCGTCATCAAAATTATTATTATTATTATTATCACTATTATCATTATCATTATTACTGTTATTATCACTATCATTACTATCATTATTTATTTTATTTTTACATTTCCTGACTAATTTATCCGGGTAATTATTAAGTTTCAAGGCTTCTTTTATGTGTATCAGTTCCTGTTTTAGATTTTCTTTGGTACTACTTAGTTTTTGTGCTCTGTCATTTAAACATTTCATCAATCCTATTTTTACAGACATAGGATGGGACGATCGGAAGTCTAAAAATCTGTTTGAGTGTGTGGATTTCCTGTAAACACTAGTGTTTAACTTCCCATATTCTTTCCTCTTTACGTTGCAATCTAACATTGGATTGCAAGGCAAGAAAATCAATGTGATGCTCGCTAGTGACTTGCTACAGTGAGGTCCAACTAGATGTCACGTGTGTGGATGGATGTCCCACCAACGACAATGGTTGGGGTCGCGCTAAATCACGAATTGGTCGAAGTTAGAATTCATGAGCCATTGAATCGGGTCCCAGTGGCTGAATGGTATACGAGCTTGCTGGCCTTGTAACCGGAAGGTCCTGGGTTCGAATCCCAGTGGGTGCATACTGCCGATGATTCCCAAACTAGGATGAAACAGCAGCTGTCCAGTACTCCCTGGTTTTCAATGGTTCTCTAACTGATATCAATCCGTGATCAACTCGTTAAATCCATTGCATTGGTGGCACAGTGGTTAGGACTCTCGCCGATCATGCACATCGTCCGGGGTTCGATCTCCTACCAACGCACACCTGATACCTATGGTCAGCCTGCAAAATTTGGGCTACCGATATCACATGCTGAAAATTCCATACCTGTACCAAAAAATTACGGTTTGGAATCAAGCTGTAATCAAAAATAAAAATATAAAAGACAACCTGATCATCGTTCCTCATCATGGGGTAATATTTTGCGTTGTTGTCAAATCGGTCAATTGGTGTAAAGATAACAAAGCCAGGTGTAGATGAGTGTTGGATTTGATAAGTGCATAAAGTTATAAAAGTAGCATGTGTTTACATTAATGAAATTGCTTATTACACATTGGTGTTGATTTTATCACTTCATGGAGGGGGGTGGGAAGCGGGTGTTGTAACCAGGTGGTCGAATTCTGTTTTAGTCCATCATCAGACAATTTGGATTTCACTTGATGATATGAAGTGCTTCTAATGGTATTAGACGATTTTTTTGTGATTTCTGAAATCAATTTTGTGGCCTGATTCTATAGTACGTGTAGACGAGCCTATGGCTGATGATTTTTTTCAAGCTTTTCTAGTTCACAACTGGATTTCTTGGTGGTCGAATAAAGGCGGCTCTATGGTGTTCATTTCTTCTGATTTTGATTTCCCTTCTGGTGAGGATTGTCCGATGTATATCGCATCACATTACAAGCAAGCTTTTCATTTTATAGACACAATTTGATAGAGAATCTTTAAGGATTTGGTCTTTTACATGAACAAAGTTGCTTTGCAGTATGTCCGATGTTTTGAAGAAAAATCTGATGTCGTGCTTATTGACTGCTCTTCTGATATCGTCTGACATCTGTGATCTAGATGGAATGACAACTTTTGAGGTCCATGTTTTCTGAATACTTTTTCTACCATACTTAATCTCAGTGTTGATTTTGTTGATGAAGTTCTTTGGGTAGTTATTTTCCTTGAGAGTCTCAGTAATGCTTGATATTTCTTCTTCTTTTTCTTTCTTGTCGGTTATCAGAGAGTGTGCTCGTGTAAGAAGACTTGAAACAACTGAAGTCTTTGCGCTGATGGGGTGTGATGACTTGAAGTCTAAATATTTATTGGAGTGGGTTTTCTTCCAGAATATGGATATACTAAAATGTCCGTTTTCCCTCCTCTTAACTTGCCAGGTTGTCTAGAAATGGTAGTCCACCGACGTCTGATTCTGCCTGATTCCGAAGTAAACTGGATTCTGGGAGATAGATTGTTTATTTTCTCCAAGAATGAACTGTTTAGATCTCGTTTTAGCACTACAACAGTATCATCTACATATCTTAACCATATTTTAGGAGTGAGTATGCTTGTTGTTGTTGTGTGTATAGAAAGTGGAGAGATTGTCGCTTATTGATTGACTCACTTAAACACTATTCAACTTTCAGGTAAGTAAGTAATACTGTAACGATAGAAGACAAGGGCCAGGCAACATATCGTTTATTGAAAAAATCAACAGATATTTATAGATTTTTATGTATATTATAGTCAGTGGAGAAGCAACCTCTTCTGATTGGTTGTTTTCTTGTCGACGGTTATTCTGTACTGCTTTTGACCGTTTCTTAGAAAGTTAAGCTATATATCTGCGAATCGTATTTGCACACGTTAAGTCTGTTGTGATTGGTTGGTGAGTTACTCAAGGTTAAACTTTGTTATTGCGTTTTTTACTCATGACCCCGATTCGGGACGTAAACATTGACGTCAATTGTTGTCTACAATTTTGGCTTGCAGACAGCTGTTACCACAGTACTAAGTAGTGGTTTGCCGGTTCGAGTCTGTCGTGTGCTTCACTTATAGTGCTTTCTGGACAATTGAGAGTAACTGGGCCCTCCCTGGTGTATGAAAATAATGTTCTCAGTGAATGAACTTTAGCTGTACAAAGGGCTCTGGTGGTATTTAGCAATTTATCTCATCTCTGGTGTAGACGTGATATATTATACCTGGCTGGCTATGGATCAAAAAATATGCGTAGTGCGTAGCAGTTCACTCCCTTCTAGTTTATGACTGTGAGACATGGCTGTTCTTCTGAGGTAAGGTGTTAAGTGTTAGATCAGAAGAACGAGTCGATTGATGAGGTTGTGAAGGTTGAGTCTGTTGAGATGGTTAGGACATGTGTTGTTCATGACAAAGCATTGCCTTTCTTGACAAGCATTATTAGTCGACACACCATTTAGGTTGGAAAAGTGTTACGGATAATCGAACTAAAACCCAGAATCAATTCATAAAGTCTTTGAGCTATGTAAGGCGGTATAGGCTTCCTAGTTAGGGTTTTCGAGGTAATAAGAACCAGTAGCTGAAAACTACTGCTGAAGATATGGCCCAAAATCATTCTCAATGGTGTAGATGCATTCACTCTCTGTAATCTCCCATGTCCACTAAACCGTTGTGTTTTTCCATGTTACTATTTTCTGGTTTTCCCCTCACAATTCTGCTTACGCACCCACTGTCTCGGTTCGAACCCGGAACCTTCCGGTTGCAACGCTGACCAACTCGTAGACCATTAATTCACTGGGACCTGATCCAATGGCCAGTCGCCAATGAATCCCAACTTCTGCCAATTCATGGATATAACGCTACTGGCACTAGCTAATGTCATTACTGGCTAGTATTTGTCCTCACCATCGACCTGCTGTACCTGACTGGTCATGACTTCTCACTAGAATGCAGGTAAAACTACTGTAAGATCAATTCAATTCCCATCCTCGAATCAAGTCATCCTGTCCCGGATCAGCCTAGCGTTGTTGTAACCCAATTATCCATGCCTAGCGTGTCTATCCCTCCTTGTTTAGTGAAGTGTGTGTGTGTTTTACATCGACCCGTTTAGTCAGATCGTTGAACTCATGACCCAATCAGAGTATTTCTGTGAACTGTTATTTTTGCTGATCCATGTCTTACTTTGTACTATTCTGTCGAGTTTATCTTATTTATTGATCTTCATCTGTATCAGCCTACCTGGTTAAGTAGCCAATTAAATTCTATCTTTGTGCCTATGCTCTGTCTATCTCTTAACAGCTCTCTGTTCTATGCCCTGCCTTACTTGGGTTCATTCTTCTACTGACTGCTTACCTGAACAGTCGTGTCTGATTCTAGCTAGTTCGCAATTCTGGCTTTAACGTTATTCCGCTCTGAAAGCGGTACCTTGCTTTCTGTTAAGCGTTGTGCTTTGTACTCTTGAAACCGTTGAGGTTTGTTGTATATATAATTATTGATTTGTTAATTAATAGTACCATAGAAACGTCCCAGTGGCTGAATGGTATACGAGTTTGCCTTGTAACCGGAAGATCTTGGGTTCGAATCCCAGTGGGTGCGTACTGCCGATGATTCCCAAACTAGGATGAAACAGCAGCTGTGTGCGTCGGTGGCATAGCGGTTAGGACGCTCGCCGA